TGATGAATGCTCACTGTGGTGTCATAGCTGGAGTCTTGCATGTACAGACTCTCCATTCTTATCTTATTTGTAAGCTTGTTATCAGCAAGATCCATAATGGCAGCCCAGTTGCAAATGCTACACTCTACACTTAAGGCAGTCTTAAGAGGCTTTTAGAGGTGAAAAAGGTCAAGGTGCAAGGGAAAGGGAACAATGTAACTAATATACCTATAAAAAGACAGAAAGAAAAAAGTATGTAAGGGGAGAATTGGAAAACCAGAGGCCATGCTACTGAGGAAACTGGGCGAGTGAGGTAAAGGCAAAGAACCAGAATGAGATAATAGGTTTAGATACCCCAGTCAATACTTTCTCTGAGAATTATAAATCTTAAGTATACAAAAATTAGTGTTATATTAATCTGTCATTTACACTACAGAGTATTGAGTTGGATAAAGGTAGTCATAAGAAATTGATATGTTTCAGTATACTCATAGGGAACATAATGTGGATATTCATAAATAGCAACTGGTTTGTATTTCTTTATATAATAAGTCCTTCATATAACATACCCATTGATAGAAAATTGCTAATATAAATATTAACATGATAGAAAATTGTTAATACCAAATATTACTTGCCACTCCCTTAATGATCCCTATAATGTCAGAATTTCAGTTAATGTCTTTACATTCCTAATCTTAAAATATTTACTCTTGATTAGGTTGAGCTAAACCACACCCTAAGTCCCATCCCCGCCCCTGCCCCTCCCCCCCCACCAACCAGAGATTTTACCTTGTAAAGGAACATAGCAGCTGCATCTCAGCTTCTAATGTCCTTGCTCCCTTCTACTGGGACTCTAGGCAGGAATGGCAAAACAGCCAAGGGCCACTGGGGTCTCATGAGACCAGGTTCTGCTACCTCACACAACCTTCTGTCTCTCTCCTCCTAAAAGTGTAAGAACCTTTCTATATGAATCGGATGGTGGGACATCCCCTAGGGAGTCAGGTTTTGCTACCCTGTTATCTCAATTAAAGACTATTTCTCAACTTGTGGCTTTGATTTATTTCAGGACTTGACACCATCTTACATCATAAATTTATCAGCCTAAATTCTCTGCTTTTCTGGGTTTACAAGACCAGCATTTTGGGATTCCTATTATTTTGCTACTCCGCCTGCCCAAATTAAAATAGTTCTAACTTCCTCTCAGATCAATTTTAAACTTAAATTACTCTGCCAATGGAGTGGAAACCTGGTTCTGCTTTATTCACCAAATTATCTCTCATGCTACTACCCTACTATACCTATGCTCCAGATAGGTCTCTGCAGTGCTTCCTAAGAATATTAAGTTCATTATAGCTTTTGTTCATGCTGTTCTTCAGCCCTCCACCAAGCTCCAATTACCAATCTTTCTAAGTGCTAACTCTTCCATAAAGCCTTCAACCAATAAACTCCAGCCAACAATGACCTCATTCCTACCTACCAGTCCCACTTGTCTTTTGTATGAGTGATCTCAAACAGATTACATTTTTGTTTTCCCTTTATAGCATTTCCCCTACAGCAATACCTATATCTTTGTTTCCTATCACAAAGACTTGTTAATTTAATTACATATTCATCTGAGCAAAAGAGGCAAAAAGCCCAAAACCACAAACTGATTGTAGGTTTGACAACTCTGGTCTATACTATACTTTATGGCATTTCTTTCTGCTTAATACTATTGTACATTGTTTTGTATTTTCCTAGTTTTTTCATACGTATATTTCAAGGAGTCACTATTCACATCCACATCCAGCTTCATATTCCATAAGGGCATCCAATCCAGCACTCAGCACAGTGCTTGGCACATAGCAGGTACTTAAATAATGCTTATTAACTTACGACCAGCCATTTTCTTGCCATCTTCCATGACACAGCAATCTCCAAACCACTTAGACGTCCAGAGACCATGCCCTGGAGGAATTAATCTACTCTGCTCTGGAGCTCCTAACTTAGGCCTGGTCTGTCCTGATCAGCAATGCTAAGGCAACTGAGCACCAACTCCCAAAGCCATATATGTACCCAGCCTCAGATCAAGCCTTGCTTCTCATTTCATCTAGTCACCTACCTTAGCCATCGTATAAGTCGCCTCTACGTACACATACATCCCACACCACACCACACTCCTCTCTCCACCTTTTGCTCTGGGAATAGTAATCAAATCAGTACAACCAATGCTTCTGGAAAAAGCATGTCAATCCTCTGCTACATACCTTCATGAACCATCCCCAGTGACTTCCCAGACCAAAATACCCTTCCCTTCACCACTCCCTCACATGTAAATCTCCTTCCATTTGCATTCACTAGTCTTTAGAATATTTTATTTCACTCATTCCTTCACGATTTCAACAGCATAGATTCTCTTCTTTTATGGTGCAGATTACAATTCCTCTATGATTTGAGTAGCTGAAAAAAGGATTCAATTCAATACCCTTAATTCTCACTTCTGGTAATGAGGTTTCCCTAAACTTAAGTAGGATGATCCTCAGATGAGGGATATTCAACCCAAAATTGAAATCACTGCAGCTTTAAGTTAGCCGTAGAAGGAAAAGGGATCACCATCATGACAGAATGAAGCATCAGAACAGAACTTTGGTGGATTAAAGTCCCTTCTCCTAAAAGATTATTAGATCCTAAATGACAAAGATCAAGTCATATTTTTCTTCTGGATATACCTCACAGAAACTGGCAAAATGCTAAGCATAAACTCGCTGCATTTCCCACATCAGTCTCGGTAAAATGCTCTGGGGATTTAAATATATAGCCAAAGAAGCATAAAGGTTAGTCCCATGAAGTCAATGGAAATGGAACACTCACCAAGATAACATGGAGTACAAAAATTTTTAAGCACATTCAAACAAATTATATCTCTTTCATAATAAAAATTATTTCCAAAAGTGATACAAAGAGATGCATATTTAACCATTTAAAAGGAAAAACAATATGAGCATTAAAATGTAAATGGAATCCTATTCACATCACACAAAACATGGAACAATTTGAAAAATGCTGTTAATTAAATCAGTTCTTTGTAGAATCTAACTTGACTTTCTTCTTCTCAAATGTACCCTGTGTGTGTGTGTGTGTGTGTGTGTGTGTGTGTGTGTGTGTGTGTGTACACCCCCCCAGATAGATACATACATACCTACATATACATAAAATTGGGGGGGGAGGGGGAGTCAATTTTGATTTGCCCAGGGTCACACAGCTAGTGAGTGTCTCAGGCCACATTTCAACTCAGGTCCTCCTGACTCCAGGGCCAGTGCTCTATCCACTGTGCCACCTAGCTGCCCTCTTATATTTTCTTAAAATGTAAAACAGTACAATTTTTAACCATTATTTGTGTAGCAATGTTTTCTATACTTATATACTTGAAGGAAGGTGATAAGTTTCATGGTAGTCTCTGCTGATTGTACCACATTTTGGAGTTCTGTCTCTCTCCCTCTCCCTCTTTCTGTCACTCACACACACACACACACACACACACACACACACACACACACACACACAATCGTCCTAGTAATTATTTTATATAAATAGGATAATATCAAAAAGTGGAAGAAAGAAAACAGCAAGCCACTGACTCCTGAAAAAGAATATTACTAGTGATATCTGAAGTCATTAATGACAGTAAATAGATGGAAATTACTCTCATTATGACTATCATCAAGTAACATACAGTTATTTCTTCATTTTATTCAGCTTCCCTGGGGCTGAAGGCAGTTTCACAAAATACAGTACTCCAATAATTTTCAGTCTTGGTTTCCTGTTGCAGTGGCTGCTACATCTTAAACTCATAGTTTGCTTCAACTAGAACAATGGTAAACTTACTTATATTGTTTTTTGTTCAGTCATTTCTGACTCTTTGTGACTCTATTTGTCAAAGAAATTGCAGTGGTTTGCCATTTCCTTCTCTAGCTCATTTTACAGATGAGGAAACTGAGGCAAACAGGGTTAAGTGACTTGCCCAGGGTTACACAGATGGTTAAATGTCTGAGACTAGATTTGAACTCAGGTCTTCCTGACTCCAGGCCCAGCACTCTATCCACTAAATCACCTAGTTGCTCTTCTAACTTATTAATAGCTACTTAGCACTAAGGGTGTTTTAAGGTTTTCAAAATGCTTTACAAATATTTTTATTATTTCATCTTCACAACAATCCAAAAATGGAGGTAAAAAAATCCCCATTTTACAAATTTACTACTGCAATCTTAAAGCAAAGATTGTGTGAATATTTGAACAGGATATGCTATTTTTCCAAACTACTTTCCTTGCTTTAAATACCATGAAAACAACTATAATTCAGGCAGATTAAATGCTAAAATGCAAAATAGCTAAGCACACACACACAAGTCTATTACCATGACAGCTTAACTTCTGCTCTTAATAACTGAAAAGACAAATAAATTTTTTTAAAAACCCAGTAACATTTAAGCAGATTAGCAAATCTAAGTCAAAGTATGTAAAGCAAAAAAAATTCAAGTCATACAAAATAACAGGTGGTTGTATCTTTAAAAAAAACAACTAAAACCCACAGTTAGCTTTAATTGGAACGAATCACAATTCTATGCATTCTGTGCTCTGGAAGCATGGGTGTTTCATTAGCTGAACAATATAAAATAAACACTATCCCATTCTAAGCTAGTGCTCATCAGTTTCAGATTTTAAGATGCTCCACTGCTTCAAACTGCATTAATTTGAAAAGTCTACCTAGCACTGAAATTCGTCCTTGAGGCATAATCTTACAGCTATGTCCTAAAACTCAGAAGATTAACTATTCATGGTGAAAAAGCTAACTTGTCACTCTCTCTGGCCCGTTGAATGTGACTTTGTACCAAACCGGCTCATTAGGACTTTGGGGGGGGGGGGAGAAGAAAGACCAACCAAAACTGTATTTGTTGTGCCATTCAGCAAATAACGGAATACTATACGCCTGCTTTCATAGTGCACATAAGGGGTTCTTTATGCCACACCTCCTGCCTTACCTCTAGGTCACAGCTGTATTCCGTGCCATCGAGGAGCATCACTTTACACGGCACTGTTTTTATCTTCTTGGCAGCCTTCTGGGGTGCCTTCTCTGCCTTGAGCTCAGTAGTCTGAACTTCCTTAGTCTCCCTTTTAGCTGCTTCTCCTTCTTGTTTGTCTTCCCGGATTCCTTCTACCTTTGCCACTTCTATTTCTTTGCTATCTTCCTTAGCGGGCTGTTGAGAAATCAATATAATAAATCATTATTATACAACAAAGGCTAACCAAATTCCCAAACACAACTATTCTGATGAATTGCTCTAAACCAGGGGGGTTCTTAACCTTGGGTACATTTTTATTATTTTAATACTCTGATAACTATTTTTAAGTATAATTGGTTTCCTCTGAATTCCATGGCATTTAGAAATATTATCCTGAGAAAGGGTCTTTGGACTTCACCAGATTGTCAAAGGGGTCTGAAGACTTATATGAACTGATACAGAATGAAGTGATCAGAACCATGAGAACAGCAACATTGTACAATTGTCAACTGTGAATGACTTAGCTACTGTCAACAATACAATGATCCAATGGACCCATGATGAAAAATGATATCCATCTCCAAAGAGAGAACTGATGGAACCTAAATTCAAATCAAACCATACTTTTTTAACTTTAATTTTCTTGCTTTGTTTCAGTCTGTATTTTCTTTCATAGTATGACTAATATGGAAATATGTTTTGCATAACTTCTCATGTTAATTTATATCAAACTGCCTGCCTTCTCAAGGAAGGAGCAGAGGAGAAAGGGGAAGAATGTGAAACTCAAAAATTTTTTAAATGTTTAAAATTGTTTTACATGTAATTGGGGAAAAAGAAAGTATATTTTAAAAAAAGAACCCACTGCTCTAAGCTAACCGTAACTGCCACCACTGTAAATATGTTATTTTAAAATCTACATTATCCCTATCCAAAATGCAGATTTCAACATTCCTCTGGGAAAGGGGCAATGAAATACAGAGAAACTGTTCTTTAATTTAGTTTGCTATTTATCGGCTATCTACAATTTTGGCATTAAAGAATAAAGTTCTAAAGTCACAACAATGCAAACCATACTGATAATTAAAAATTAATTATTCAAACCACAAGAAAGACATCTAATTTATACAGCCAAAATCTTTGCACAGTATTGCCAAAAAGTTGACAAAGGATAAAAATAAATAGGAATCTCTGGGTTTGTTTTACTTTCAAAGTATCATAGATGTAGCAACAGAAGAGGCCCTCAAAGGCCATCTATTCAAATCTTTTCACATTACAGACAGGAGATGATGGAACTAAGGCCCAGAAAGCTTAAGTGAATTGTCCAAGGTGACGAAAGTAGGAAGTGATTGATGTTAAGATCTGAATCTAGGTCTCCTGACTTCAGAGCCAATGAATGCCCCTTCCTCTGTACCACGCTGCCTTCTTCCTTTTAGTCAAATGAATATCTAAATTAAACTAAGAGGAAGCAGGCTCGAATTGATCCCAAGTTATAACTTAATTTAAAAGTTACCTTGATTTAAAAATTACCACTGAGTGGTACATGTAAAAGAGGGACAGACTTGAAATCAAGCAAGGACAGGATGACAGGAGTTAAGAACTAGAATGAACCTTAGAGACAATATATCTTGCTTTATCTAATCCAATCCCCCTCATTTTTACAGGTGTGGAAACTGAGGGCAAGAGGGGGAAAATAATTTGCCCAAGGGCATGCAAGGTTTTGCCACTAGCTGTGTAAATCTAGTTAAGTCACGTTCCTCCTCTAGACAGCATGCAGAATACATATGCAGAATATAGCAATTAAACTGCATAATTTCTAAGCTTCTATATCCTATAATCCTATTCTTAAGGGTCTCCAGGTACAGACCGGTTCCTAAAGTATTATGGATGCTCTTATCAGACTAGAGGAATTCTGAGTGTTTAAAGACTGACAAGTCCTTTTTATTTCTCAGGCTGCAATCACTAAGCTGTCCCTTTAATAGTTCTAAATCATCTTTTTAAAGGTACCTGTGTCTCAGCACTACTGACTGAATGCTTCTCATCCTTATCATCAACTCTAACCTCCTGCCGTCTTCTCTCCACGATTTCCTCTGTGTCACCCCTGGCCACGCTCCCTTCTTCTGGAAGGGATTCATCTTTTTCGACTACGGGCTCTTCCACAACAGCCTCGGTGGGCTCCTTCCTTTCGACTCCATCTTTGGCCTCTACCAGGTTATACGACTTCTGTTTCTTAAGCCATGGGGGTATGAAGCGAGAGATGCCCCGACTCTCTGAGGGATCCTTCTCCTTCTTCTGACTCCGGGGGCTGCTTTTGCTAACGGTGGCAGTGGGGGACGCTGGACTTTTTTCCTCCTCCGGTTCTGAGGAGGGATTCTGTTGACTTTCTGATGCTTCCTCATCAGGTTTCTCCTGGGCAGCGTCTGATCCTATTTGCTCGGCCTGCTTGTTCACTTCGGACTTGGAACCGACTTCAGTAGTCATGGTCACCGTGGATGCTAAAGATAAAATCAAAGCACAAGTGTTACCTCTGCATTTGTTCTCAACATTAACCTAAAGGAAATGGGCATGCAGAGAGGGAGGGGAGAGCATTAACTGCTATCCTCCCTCAAAAAAGAAACAAGAACAGGTGAAAGCACAGGTGAACTAGAAAAGCACCAGCATCTCAAAAGCTGGGCTCCTCTTAACGCTTAGCACAGTGCCGCACACAGTAGGTGCTTGATAAATACTTACTGAATGACGACTGTTTAGTTCTTGTTGATACTCAGACTTATAGAGAGAAGTGCTATTGGTTGTCTGATACTTAAAATCTTAGACAGTAACCTAGGGCACTGAGGTTAAATGAGGTTAAGCATGCCCAGGGTCACATGGCCCAGTAGTTGAAAACCAAAGATATTTAGGGATGTGAACTACAGCTATTTGAGGAAAACACTTCCCTGTATTTCACTGCCCTTTCCCTGAGGAATGTTGAAATCTATACATTCAGGAAAGGGATAATGAAGATATTAAAATAATGCATTATTTACAGTGGTAGCAATTACTTATGGTTAGCTTAGAGCAGTAGTTCTTAACCTTGTTTATGTCACGGACCCCTCTGGCAGTCTGGTGAAGTCCAGATACCATCTCAGGATGGTATTTTAAATGCATAAAATAAAACGTGTTAGAATGAGCATCTGAACCCAGGTCTTCTTGACTCTAAGGCAGACTGGCTCTCTACCCACCAAGCCATGCTTCCTCTGAGTATCTTCTATATGAATATAAATTAATTCCCAAATGCTAATGGGGAAGCTAGTAGCACACTGCTGGGCCTGAAGTGAGAAATACCTTAGTTCAAATTTGGCCTCATAAACTTATGTGACCTTCAACAAGTTACTTAACCTCTGTCTCACTTTCCTCATCTGTAAAGTAGAGCTAATAATAGCACCTATTCCATGGGTTGCTTTGTAGATCAAGTCAGATAATAACTGTAAAAAGCTTAGCACAGTACCTAGCATATAGTATTTTATAAATATTAGTTATTATTGTTATTGACATAGAACTCAGAATTTCTTTCTATCTACCCCAAATAGTAACTATAAGGGACTCTTACAAGACAATAGCGTTTTGCCTTTATAAAAAAAATTAGAATTTTGTTCTATTCTTCTCTGTAAGTTAACTTGAAATTTCTGCTGGTGGTGACATTACAAGTATTAGGACTTTTTAATTTTATAATCTGCCAGTTTTTAAGCAAAACTAAAATTCTCCAAAGATACAAAGTATTATAAAATGAAACAGATAACTATATACCACGTATATCTTGTATGTACATAGGTTTGTATACTGTCATCCCCCCTTCAGAATGCCAACTCCTTGAGGGTCAAGGACTGTGTTTTTGCCTTTCTTTGTATCCCTGGTGTTAATAATTATTAGCACATGAAACCCACTTAATAAATGTTTGTGGAACTGCTTATTGCTGAGAAAACTATAAAATCAGAAACTTTCTATTTTTCACATCAAATTTCAAAACCCATTCCTGAACATCTTTCCTTCTATTCCAACTTATGCCAATTCTAGAAACATCAAAAAGTATAGTCAAAGGCCCTCCATCGCCACTAACTCCCCAAACCCTTCATTTTATTTTTTAGAGAGGATCTGGGTTGTATACTAATACAACAGACTCCACTCAAGCTTGCGATAAGATATCTATTTTCTAGAGGTAACTGTCTCAAGGTTGAAGGAAGTAATTCCAAGGAAATTATAGTGAAAGGACATTAGAACTAAAAAGGCCCTTGAGGGTTAGACTCTTAACTCACTTTTACAGATTAAGCAATTGAGGTCTACAGAGAGCGACTGGTCCCAGATTACAAAGTTAATTTAGCAGCAGAGCCAGAATCAGAATCCAGATCTAACTCCAAAGTTCTATTACAAATTTTGCCTTATTGTAAAATATTAAAAGGCATCTTATCACACTGCTGTAGTTGGTGTTCAAAATTTTTTAAATTAAAGCAGTACTAAATTTAAATATTTGACAATGTTCCAAATTTACTTGATAACCAACAGCCCCACTACTTAAGTTCATTTATTAGATTGAAATCTCTAAAAAAGGGCTAATGTTGACAATCTGCCAAAATATTTTAACAGCAGTAAAACACTATACTCAAATTTCTTACTGCTATGCTAAATATAAGCAGGTGTCATTTGCTTTTAGGGTGCAGTATAGCGTAAAATTTATTCTGGTCTAGGAAATTAATCAAATATTTGTTGACCTGACCTGTTGGCCACAGTGTGAACTGTGAAATTATTTTATAATTCAATCAAGGTCCTGTTATTAATTAGTTTGTCATCCAGCAAAATAATCTATTCATATATTTTACCTTTCCTAGGGGCACTTGAGTAGCACAGTGGATAGAGAGCTGAATCAGGAGTCATGAAGACCTGAATTCAAATCCAGTCTTAGATACACTAGCTCTGGGACTCTGGGCAAGTCACTTAAACTCTTTCTACCTCAGTTTCCTAGACTGTAAAATAAGGATAATATTTTAGCACCTACCTCACCAGGTAGTCGTAAGGATCTAATGAGATAATATCTGTAAAGCACTTAGCATAGTGCTGGGCACACAGCAGGCATTTAATAAATGTTTGCTTCCTTGATTCATTTTTTTTTAAGGCAATTGGGGTTAAGTGACTTGCCCAGGGTCACACAGCTAGTGTCAAGTGTTAGGTGTGATGCTGAATTTGAACTCAGGTCCTCTGGACTTCAGGGTCAGCGCTCTATGCACTATGCCACCTAGCTGCCCCTCCTTGATTCATTCTTAAAGAAGGCCAGCGCCACTATGAAATACAGAGGAGCATAAATGTAGACTCCAATCTAACTTAATAGTGACAAAGAAAAAGGCTAGCTTTTCAGTTTGTGATCACATTACAAAAAAAAATCACATGAAGAGATCTTACTCAGCCTTAGCATTAATGAGCTAATGGATTGGGGACCTAGAACTAGTTGAGCCAGATGTTAATTAAAAAACATAAAAAGTCATTATGAAGTAGCTCTGTTTCATTACAAGATAAAACTGTACAAAGCAACTTTAGTCAAATTCATCTTAAAATCACTACCAAATGTTTACAAATCAATGACCCAATGAAATAGAAACATACAAAAATGAAAAAAAAAATGGCCATTTTGAGCATTTTCACTTGAACTACTGAATATCATTCTATTAATGTTAGGGAGCAAATTCTTAAAGCTGTTAAAAAGGTCAAAGATAAGTAACTATGTCTTCATGGTTCTTATAGCACCTCATAATAAAAGTTTCACAATAATTATTTTGTTGATGTGATGCCTTTTTTGCACAAGATTTTTAAACCTGTTAACTATGTTTTTCTTAAGAAACCATAATTCTGTACAATAGCAATACTTTCATCTGCTTCTCCTAGGACTATACAATCCTACCATTTTAAAGGATCTTAGCAATCATCTCATCCACCACTCCTCTTCCCCTTTCCCTTTACAGATGAGAATACTGAAGCCTAGATAATTATGTGATTTGTCCAAGGTATGAATAGCCAGGCTGGGAAGATAAACCATATATTCAAATTTCTACTAATTTCAGGGCTTCCCCCCACCACTAATCTCTAATTATTTTCCCTTAAAATCTAATATTTATACAGTTATACATTAAGTAAAATATTTCCTATGTTTCCATGTGCCTTATTATCATCAGCTAAAAAGAAGATTGGGGATTAACAGCAAGCTCATTAGGAGATCATGTGGTTTCAACACAATCAGCACGTTAGCATGCTTCATCTGTGCTTATAAAAGTTTTCATTATTGTAACAGTACCATGAGAAAAAGCATGCATCACTTAACCTTCAGTCATGCAGAAGTTTCCATTAATAAAATAACAAGTACTGGTTAGGTGGGCAGCTTTGTAATACAAAACCATGCTTCTTCAAAAGAGAGGTTAGTTACCAAGTTGTCAACTTCACTATATCCATATACTACTTAGTGTTGTTTTCTTTTTAAATCAGCCACTGATTAAAAACCAGAATGTAATACATCCATGATCACCCCCCCAAAAAAAACCCTATATGCTAAAATTTTCTAACCAGGAATTCCCAATATTTGGGGGAAGGAGAAAAACTTGTGAATTTCTATAAGTCAATCTTGAAATCATCAAAGGGGAGGTGAGGATAAGGGTGGGTGGCGGGTGGAAATGAGGTTATTTATAAAGCCCCTGTATGAGGAAAGGACTGGGCTGCTAGCTGAGCTTCCATTTTATATAAGAATCCCAGCAAACCATGAACATTTGGGCAGAGAATCTTAGATTTGGAAGGGATACTATAAACAGTCAAAAACAACTCTCATTTTTTTACAGGCCCAAATTGGTTTCTCAATGAATCCAACCCTAATATCAACTACAAGGATGGTCTCCCTCCCTTAACTTCTCAAATCATTCTAGAATTTTTCTACCTGCATATGATTTACCTTCTCAGAGTTCTGTTATTTGCATACTTATTTCTTCTGTGGCACCCCCTCCAAGATGAGGGGAACACTTAAACGTCGGGAACTTGTTACTTCATTTTTGCATTCCTACTCATAGGAATCAATCAATTAATCTTTATCCCATTTGAGGCACCTGGAGGTCCAGCGATAGCTAACAGATGGATACTATTCTCCCTTCTGGCCTCCACAGATTAACTTCACCCTTCCTGACAATGAGCTGTCCTCCTCCATCCCCCCAATCTGGGCAAGAAGCCCCTATCCCTATCCTTGCAGAAGGAAAACTAGAATTCCCTCTCTACTCCAACCAGTAGGCCCCCCTTCCCAATGGTGGTAAGCTGCTGCTGTAGGACAGATAAACAACTTCTTAGGACTTCTGGGTCTTTCTATTTGTCCTATTATCAATCTCTCTCCTCCATGTATTGTCCTTCCCCAATTAGGGAGCGTGAACTCATTGAGAACAAGGACTGTGTTCTTTTTTTTATATCCACCCCCAGGATACTGCTTGGCATATAGTAAGAA